CCCTTCTGGGGGTGCAGGTGTGGAGGGTTCGGGAGGTAGCCGTCGCGCAGCTTGTGGCCCTGGTGTTGGTGTTGTGTCGCCGCAGCAGCAGTCCCCGCCTGTGTCCGCCCTCCGTCTGCTCGGCCTTCCGTCTCCTGACCCTGCGCCTGTTCCTCTCCTGCCGTCTCCCCCTCTTCCCGTCTACGGCCCCGTGTTCCCTCTGCCAGACTCGTCCCCGGCTCGTCTTCCCCCTTGTTCCCCTCCTGTGTCCCCTCCTCTGTCTCCTGACCCGACGCCGCCCTCCCACGTCTGGTCTCGCCGCCCCTCTCGTGCTCGTCCTGTCTCCCCTGTCCCGCGCTCTCACCCTATGTTGCTCCGTTCCCACGCGTCTCGACCTCCCCTCCTCCCGTCTCCTCCTCCGTCTTCTCTTGTCGTTGCGTCTCCTCCTCTGTCCGACTCCTTTCGTGCCGCTCGTCCTCTTGTTCCTCGGGTCCTTGCCTCTCTCGTTACCGACCCGTCTGTTCCCGTGTCGAGTCTTGACGCCCTCGTCGCTGCGGTCGCTGACTTCGCCTCTACCCGCCGCCTTGACTACGCCACCGCTCTGGTCTCTCACCCTGCCTGTCCTCCGTCTGTCGGGGGTGCTCCTGCCCTCGGCAGTGACGTCCTGGAAGACCGCCAGTTTGAGCTTGCTTTCCTGTCCGAGGCTGCTCCCCATCTCTGTTCCATGCTGCTAGTCCCTGAGGGTGACCCAGACGCTTTCGACATCCCGACCCCTCGTACTTACGCTGAGGCGGTTTCGGGACCCTGGGCCTCTCAGTGGATAGCTGCCATGGAGCAGGAGATGGCATCTTGGAGATCCACCGGCACCTTCGTCGACGCAGTTCCCCCACCTGGGGTGAACGTGGTCGATGGCCGTTGGCTCTTCAAGGTGAAGCGCCCTCCTGGAGAGCCGCCTGTGTTCAAGGCGCGCTACGTGGCTAGAGGCTTCAGTCAGCGCGAGGGGGTGGACTTCTTTCAGACTTTCGCTCCTACCCCGAAGATGACTACTCTTCGGGTGCTGCTACACGTAGCGGCTCAGCGTGACTACGAGCTTCACTCCCTCGACTTCTCCACTGCCTTTCTTCAGGGCAGCCTTCACGAGCAGGTCTACCTGCGTCGCCCTCAGGGCTTTACTGGCACCTTCCCCCCTGGGACCCAGTGGCTTCTGCGGCGGCCAGTCTACGGCCTGCGCCAGGCGCCTCGTGAGTGGCACGACACTTTGCGTGCTACCCTTGCTGACCTGCAGTTCTTTCCGTCCTCTGCAGACCCCTCGCTCTTCGTTCGTGCTGGCTCGACTCCGTTCTACATCCTCGTCTACGTAGACGACCTGGTCTTTGCCACTGCTGACAGGGACGCACTGGCCTCCGTGAAGGCAGAGCTGCTGAAGAGACACACCTGCACTGACCTTGGAGAGCTGCGCCGTTACCTTGGCTTGCAGATCTCCAGGGACAGAGCCGCGCGCACCATCACCCTGACTCAGTCACACTTGGTGCGCCAGGTCCTTCAGAGGTTCGGCCTTCAGTTCTCCTCCGCACAGCCCACCCCTCTTCCTCTGGACCACAGACTCTCCGCTCCAGTTCCTGAGGAGTCGGTAGATCCCAGTGGTCCTTACGCTGAGCTAGTGGGTTGCCTCATGTACCTGATGACTTGCACTCGCCCAGATCTCGCATACCCTCTCAGCATCCTGGCTCGTTTCGTGGCCACAGGCAGGCACCGACCTCAGCACTGGTCTGCCGCTAAGAGGGTTTTGCGTTATCTTGCAAGTACATCGGGCATGGGGTTAGTGCTAGGCGGACGCAGGCCAGTGGTCCTTACTGGACACACAGACGCTTCTTGGGCAGACGACGCCGAGACGCTCAGGTCTTCCCAGGGCTACTGCTTTAGCCTTGGTTCAGGTGTTGTCTCGTGGAGAGCTACCCGCTCTTCGTCTGTTGCCCAGTCCAGCTGTGAGGCCGAGATCTACGCCGGTGCCATGGCGGCACAGGAGCTCCGCTGGCTGACCTTCTTGCTCACTGACTTAGGTGAGCGGCCTAGCTCTGCCCCGGTCCTGTACGCTGACAACAGGGCCATGATCCTCCTGTGTCAGGAGCCTCGACTCGAGGGCAGAGCGAAGCACATCCAGCTGCGGTACTTCCTCCTGCGTGAGCTACAGCAGCGTCGCCAGGCTCGCGTAGTACACTTAGCCTCCGGTGCCAACACAGCTGATATCTTTACGAAGGCGCTTGCGCCTAAAGATCATCAGCGGCACTGTGTACAGCTTGGTCTGGTTCCTGTAGTCTCTCACTTACTCGGGCCTTGACTCTGTACTGTCCTATATATCTGTGTGTACACTCAGACTGGACTTGTGTCCTCTTACAGTGGTTGGACTAGTAGTGCCGCCCTGTACTAGTTCTTGCCTTGCCTGTACTCCTTCTGACTGGTCTTTTAGACCCTTGTCTCAGAGGCTGGACTAGTAGTGCCACCCTGAGCTGCTTGTCTAGAACATTCCCCTATGCAGTCCAGGGGGTGTGTCAAACATGTTTAGTTATCATGCTTGTATAGACTGTATAGGGTCATCTTCTAGAGAGTACAACAGTTAGGTATATGTTTGTGTACTCTCTCTCTCTATTCATTAATTTTCACTGTTTGATACCTATATCGTAATTCAGTGATCGAACACTTCGTTATTCATTTCCGCACTACTATGCTTGTTCATTCATAACACCTGGTATTACGTGCGGCGGTTTATACCCAACATGGCGGGGTTAACTGGACCTCTAACTGACCTACTGCAGAAGGAGACTTTTTACGAGTGGAGGGAGAAGCAGCAAGCTGCGTTCGAGGCATTAAAAACTCTTTTAATGTCGCCACCAGTACTTCGCATCGCTGACCCGGAAAGGCCCTTCGAAGTTATCTCCGACGCAAGTGACATCGCCATCGAAGCCGTGCTCATGCAAGATTTCAGCAATGGTCTTAAACCAATCGCGTACGAGTCTCGGAAAATGCAATCTGCTGGGCGCAACTACCCGGTACACGACAAGGAGATGCTGGCGATCGTCCACACGTTCAAAATCTGGAGGTGCTACCTGACTGGAGCAGACGTGACGGTGCGAACCGATCACAAATCTCTACAGTACCTGAGAGCGCAGCCGAATCTCAACCCGCGGCAGATACGCTGGCTGGACTACCTGGAGTCCAACTTCACGTACAAGATCACGTACAAAAAGGGCGCCAACAATATTGCAGACGCCATTTCCAGACCGTCTGCCCAACTCGCAGCAGTACTAGTTGCCCAGAGCAACCCACTACTGAGTGGACTATTTACACACGGGTATTCGACTGACCCCTTCTTCGTAAATGATGGTCATCTCCCAATCACTATACGGAAAGGCGTCTATTACTTACAAAAGGGGACGGATCGGATTTGGGTCCCAAGTTATCGTCTAATTCGCGAATTGCTAATTCAGTCCACGATTCGAATTTATCGGGACATTTCAGGGTTGATAAAACTCTGAAGGCGTTGCAGCGGTTTTATTACTGGCCTGATATGGTGACGGACGTGCAGCGTTACGCGGCTGCGTGTCCGATCTGCCAACGAATAAAATCATCACAACAGCGATCGACAGGACTGTTGCAGCCCCTCGAGCCACCTCAACGCCTATGGCAACACGTGACGAAGGTTTTCGTCACAGGTCTACGGGCCGGATCTTGCGGAAACGACGTAGTGCTGGTTGTCGTCGATAGATTGACGAAAATGACGCATTTCGCACCATGTCGTACAACTATCACAGCCGAAGAAACCATGCGACTGTTCATCTCGACCGTTGTTCGCCTACATGGGATACCAGCAGCAATCATCAGTGATCGAGATCCGAAGTTCCCGTCAAAATTTTGGCAGGACACGTGGGCTCGGTACGGCACGCGCCTGCAGTTCTCATCCGCTTCTCATTCCCAAACGGACGGTCAGACAGAAAGGACAAACCAAACGATGGAGTAGCTGATTCGGACAAACCGCCCCGACCGAAACAAATGGGAGGACGCGCTTCCCATGTTGGAATTCTCCTACAACAACGCCTCCTCAGCCACGACTAATTACTCCCCATTTTACCTCAATTACGGGATGGACCCCACAGTACCCATCTCCACCAACGTTGAGAGTCAAGTACCATGGTCGCAGCAGTTCGTTGAAGAATTACAGACTGCCCGAGATAAAGCTGTCGAACTTATTCGCAAAGCGAACGCTACTGCCCGACGATATGTGGATTTACATCGACGAGATATTACGATGACAGCATGGCAACTAGTCCTTTTGGACACCAAGAATTTACGGCTGCCCCTACCGACGGAATTACGACCACGTAACCACGTTTCTGTGGGCCATTCAAGATCATGAAGATGGTAACGCCGGTGACCGCCCAATTACGCCTACCTGACGATTGGCGTATTCACAACAAGTTCCACGTCAGCCTGTTACGACCTTTCGTACCTGACACATCGGACATCGCCCGACAGCGATTGGTCTCGGATGTACGATCATCGAGCCTTTGAAGATTTTGAGCCATAGGATTCATATCGACGGCCAAGGACGACACGTTGACTTTCTGATACGATGGACCAATCGTATCAGTAAGGACGACACGTGGGTGCCCTCGGACCGGATACAATCACATTCGATACTTGCGAATTATATGGCCCTCAAGCACGTGGCTGATGTAGATCACCTTCGCTAAGGGGGGGGGTGGTGTAAGGAATTTTCTATTCCTTATCGTGCGGTACTGCTATCGCGTACGCTCGAACACACCCGAAGCCTCGGGACGGTTCCAGACCTTTCTGACAGAACGGCCTCGGCTTCTCCAGACCTTCTAGTTCGACCTTCGGGAGTTCTCCGGGCCTCGCTTCGTCACTTCGAGACCCTTCGATCTCCTTCCCGAACCTTTCCGTCTCATGGTTAGACTAGCTCTGGAGTTCCTATATCTTGGCTTGCCATTCCTTGTATCGTCATTCAGTGATTGAACACTTTGTTATTCATTTCTGCGCTACTCTGCTTGTTCATTCATAACAGCCACACTGGCAATAAGGAAACACTGATGCTAATTCGACTCTTAAGCTCCTACTTAGCGCATCTCCTTCCTCCACTCGCTCAAGATGTCCCACGCAGAAGGCTCTTCCACTTGTTCCCCCTCCCCTCTACGCCATGCTCCCAACCTCTTTCCCTCGTCCCCAACCCTAAAGCCCTTCATTGCACCACCCCCCCTATACTTCACAACATCACTCTTCCCCACTCCACCCCCTCCCTCGACCATATCATCTACACTGTCACTTAAATCCAGCTCGTCACATTCAACCTGCACACCTGCTGCCTCAGCCCGAGCCAACACCTCCCGAGCCTCAGCTCCCATGCCAAGCCTGATGGTCCGGTGCAGCAGGCTGGTGTATATGCCAGCATCTGCCACCCACCCTTCCCTCTCCATCCGGTCGACCAATCGCAATGCCACTTCTACCTCCTCCCTCTTCCCCCCTACAAGCAGCCCCCTTACAAGGTCTGCCAGCACACCAGGGTCAACAGCTGGGGAGGATGTAGGGTACAGTTCAGCGGCGCCAGCAATAGCAGCAGTTGCTGCAACACCAGCAGCACCAGCAGCACCACTTGAAACAGCAGCAGCAGCAGCAGGGGCGTCTGTTGCGGTGTTAGCATCTGCTTTTCTCTCTGGTCCTCCCTCCATCCCTGCTGAGTCACCACTTGATAACTCAGCACCTGATGAATCAACACTTGCTGACTCAGCACCGGATGAATGAGCACTTGCTGACTCAGCACCGGATGAATCAACACTTGCTGACTCAGCACCGGATGAATCAACACTTGCTGACTCAGCACCTGCCATTATTGCCGCATCCCCGGTTCTACCTTCCCCACTCACCACCTTCCCCTCCACAGCCCTCCCCCACGCGTCCATCACTCCCACTGTCTCCGCCGCCCCTTCCCCTGTCAGTCCGCCACCCACCGACGCCACAGCATAGCGCCAGGCGAAGCTGTCCAGCGGGGCGTGCGACTCCAAGAGCTCCCGCACCCGCAGGAACACAGGGCTCATCTCGCCGCTACTGCTTCCATCCATGCCGCTGCTGCTGCTCCTGCTGCTCCTGCTGCTGCTGCTGCTGCTCCTGCTGCTCCTGCTGCTGCTGCTGCTGCTCCTGCTCCTGCTGCTGCTGCTCCTGCTGCTGCTGCTGCTCCTGCTGCTGCTGCTGCTGCTGCTGTCATTGCTGCTGCTGCAATCCGCGCCGCTGCTGCTTCCAGAGCCGGCGTTGTCTTTTGAGATACCCTGCCTGCTCTCCCCATCTCCTCCATCTCCTCCATCTCCTCCATCTCCTGCATCTCCACCCCCCCTGCTAGTCGTACTGGTCAGTTCTGACAGCAGATCCAGCTGCTGCTCTGCAATCCGCCGCCGCTGCTCCTCCTCACTCATGCTCTCAGCCGCCCCAGGACCTCCATCACCACCCACACGACCAGAATCATTGCTGCCAATACGGCTAGGGCCAGAAGACCCTGTGATAGCCACACCTTCCTGGCTAACTGTACCCGTGCTTCGGCCCCCTGTTGTTCTTGTGCCGGCTGTCTGTGGTCCCTCTGTGCCACCCCGCATGGCCAGCAGGAGCTCATCGGCAATGGCGCCCTGCTTCCCCTTGAGCAGCAGGTCCACCACCCACCCGTGCTGCTGCACCTGCAGGGGCCACCCCTGCCGCTGCATGTCCCGAGCCACGGCGCGCACGGCCTGCCACTGCTTGCACCGCACGCATGCGCCCAGCATGGCTGCGAACGTGTGGCTGTTGGCCACCAGGGGTGGGTCCTCCCGCCTCCTGCCGAACCACACCCTCTCGTCTGCGCTCTCCCCATTCTCCTCCCCATTCTCCTCCCCATTCTCCTCCCTGTTTTCCTCCCTCTTTTCCTCCCTCTTTTCCTCCCTCTTTTCCTCCCTGTCTTCCTCCCCATTCTCAGCCCCCTCGCTGTGCACCTCATCCCTCCTACCTGTCTCGTCAATGGCCTCCCCTTCCTCCTCTTCCTCCCCTTCCTCCCCTTCCTCCCCTTCCTCCCCTTCCTCCTCTTCCTCCTCTCGTCCTCGCCCCTCTCTCCCTGCCTCCCCATCCGCCACCACATTTGCTTCCTCCCCAACCCTCCCTACTCTCTCCAGTTTCCCTTCCCTTATAAGCCGCCTCCTGCTCCTGCTATTGGCTGCCATCCGCCTCATCCTCTCCTCCTGCCTCTCCTCTTTGCTCATCCACCTCTTCCTGCCTGTGATTATAGGCCTGCCGCCCGAGCGGGCAGCAGTGAAGATTTCCTCTGCAGCAGAGAACCTGCCCGTGCGGGCAAAAACGGTTATCATGATGTTGCAGGTGGTGATGTTTGGGGTGCACCTCTGCTTCTGCATCTCCCGAAAGACACAGGCCGCGTCGTCCAATCGGCCGCTTCGCTCGCACGCACGAATCAGACCTGTCCACGTCACCACTGGTGGCTGCGCATCCAATGCCCGAGAAATCTTCTCCACCTGCCCGGATCACCCAAAGAGAGATGCACAGATGGTAATAGTACAGCACTCAGGAAGAAAATATACTCAGCGAAAAATGCTTGGGATGTGACTATTCTGAAACTACAAAGTACTCACGATACTCCAGACTACAAAGGCCACAGCAGCATCGGGCAAACACACCACCAGAAAAAGTGCTCCTGCCTCGTTGGTTATATCGTGAGTTTAGATTGTGAGCCGAGCATGCCGAGCAAGCATACCGAGCATACCGAGCGTACCGAGCAAGCATACTGAGCATACCGAATACCCAGATAACGAGCATACCCAGCATACCCAGCATACCGAGGATGCATACCAAGAATTATGAGCAAGCATTCAGAGCATACCAAGCAAGCATACCGGGCATACCAGGCAAGCATACCGAGCAAACCAAGCAAGCATACCGAGCATACCAAGCAAGCATACCGAGCATACCAAGCAAGCATACCAAGCAAGCACACCGAGCATACCAAGCAAGCAAGCATACCAAGCAAGCAAGCATACCAAACATACCAAGCAAGCACACCGAGCATACCAAGCAAGCATACCGAGCGTACCGAGCACACCGAGCATATCGAGCAGAGCATACCGAGCATACCAAGCAAGCATACCGAGCATACCAAGCAAGCATACCGAGCATACCAAGCAAGCATACCGAGCATACCAAGCAAGCATACCGAGCATACCTAGCAAGCATACCGAGCATACCAAGCAAGCATACCGAGCATACCAAGCAAGCAACCGAGCATACCTCCCCTGAGAGGTGTCGACAACTCACCAGGGCAACAGCATCCCGCCACCTCCCAGCGGCACATAGAGCGCAGGCCAGGGAGTGGAACACCCCCGCGTTGCCCTCCATCCCTCGCTCCTGCATCTCCCGCACTGCTGCCTCCGCCTCCTCCACCCGCCCCGCTGCTGCTAGTGCTCGCACCAGATCTGTTGGGGGGGGGGAATGGGGGGGGGGGGGGGGGCAGGGAATTGGAGTGAGGAGTTGTGAGGGAGGAGGGGACGAAAGCATGCAGGGAGTGGAACACCCCTGTGCTGCCCTCCACCCCTCGCTCCTGCATTTTCCGCACTGCTGCCTCCGCCTCTTGCACCCGCCCTGCTGCTGCTAATGCCCGCACCAGCAGCAGCACCTCTAGATGTCGAGGGGAACAGGGATGCGACTCTTGCATGCTGCCGCTGCGTTCTCCTCCCGCCCTGCTGCTAGGAGCACCCCCGCACAAGTCTGTTGGGGTGGGGAATGCTGGGACGGCACGGAATGGCGAAGAGAACAGAAGGACAGAAGCTAAAGGAAAGGAGAGAATGCACCCCGGAAGGTGGGTAAGACAAGTACCTCGGTAGGTGCGAGTGGTGGGGGAGAAGCCAGCAGCCTCCATATCCGCCAACAGCTGGAGCGCATAGTGTGTCTGGCTGCAGAGGGACATGGCTTGGATGGCAAGGCCGAAGGTGGCAGAGTCAGGCGTCACCCCCTCATGCCTCATCTGCTGCAGCGCCCACTGCACTCCCTTCCACTGCCGCTTGGCTCCACATGCGTTCAGCAGCTGGGGGGCACAGTGACAGGGGAAGGCGGGACGTGGGGGGCACAGTGACAGGGGAAGGCAGGACGTGGGGGGCACAGTGACAGGGGAAGGCGGGACGTGGGGGGCACAGTGACAGAGGAAGGCAGGCGGGACGTGGGAGAATGACAAGCGTGGGAGGGAAGAGCGGATGAAGGGTGCGGCCACACCCATGACGTCTGGAGCTCGCAAGGGCAGGAAGGGCGGGAACGGTGGGAAGGGCGGGAAGGGCAGGAAGGGCGGGAAGGGCGGGAGGGGCGGGAAGGGCGGGAAGGGCAGGAAGGGCGGGAAGGGCGGGAGGGGCGGGAGGGGCGGGAGGGGCGGGAAGGGCAGGAAGGGCAGGAAGGGCAGGAAGGGCGGGAAAGGCAGGAAGGGCAGGAAGGGCGGGAGGGGCGGGAAGGGCAATGCTTACTGCGTTGTAGACCACCACATCTGGAGCCAGCCAGCTGCTCCTGCTGTTGCTGCTGCTGCCTTGGTTACGAGGCCTGTCACTAGGGCCATTCGCAGCCCTGCTGTTACCATCACCATCATCCCCATCTCCGCCGCTGCCAACAGTTTCAAGTGGTTCTGCGCGATTGGTGCGAGCGGGCCCCTCCCTGAGCTCCTGCATCATCTGCTCTGCTCCTCACGCAGTGGCGTGCAGGACAAGGGAAAAGATGAGGAGGGAAGGAGGGAGGGACAGGCACGGCTCAAGGTTAGGGACAGCCCGGCTTGGAACAAGGGAGACAAAAGAAAGGGCCAAGAGGAGGTAAAAAATGAGTGTGCCGAACATAGATAGTGCTGGGGATGACAAAGCTCGCATTCCCCACGCCCATCCCCTCCCCGCCCAACCCCTCCCCGTCCCCGCCCTTCCCCTCCCTGCCCATCCCCTCCCCGCCCATCCCCTCCCCGCCCATCCCCTCCCCGCCCATCCCCTCCCCGCCCATCCCCTCCCCGCCCATCCACTCCCCGCCCATCCTCTCCCCGCCCATCCTCTCCCCGCCCACCTGCAGCAGCTCCTGCAGATATCCCGCCCTTCCCAACGCCACTGCTGCAGCCCTATAGGCTGGGAGGTCAGGCCACGTGGCTGGCTGCGACTGGAGGAGAGACAGGAGGGAGTGGAGGCGTTAGGTGACAAATGGATATGAAGTGCGGGTGAGACGAGGGGGAGTGAAGCAGAAAACGGATGGCAAAGAGGGGTCGGGGAAAAGGGAAGTAACAGAGGGATAAGGGCAATGGGCGATCGAGCAATGCACGGGAGAAGGGGATTATTTTTTAGGCGCCTCAAAAATAGACCCCTCACGGGAGAAGGGGATGGAACAAAGGCGAAGAGACGACCATCAAGCAGCCAGGGAGCATGTAACACCACCATGTGCATGACTTGCAGCACGGCACGCACCATCATCATTCTCATCACTTGCAGCACAGCATCGGGGTAGCGCCAGCCCAGAGCAGCGATGAGCGAGGTGAGCACCTTCCTGCAGGGGGTGGGGGACACAGGAAGTGGAGAGGGTGGTAATTTGAGCCGACTAAAAGGCATCGGGGCAGTGCCTGCCAGCCCAGAGAAGTGATGAGCGAGGTAAGCACCTTCCTGCAGAGGGGAGAAACACACAGGTAAGGAGGCGGGAAGGGCAAAGGACACAGGAAATTGGAAGTCAAGACACAAAGGAGAGCAGCGATGAGAGGGGTTGGTGGGAAGGATGTGGTGAAAAGGTGAAGCAAGCATCGAGGAGACGGCTACAGAGTCGACTCAAGAGAAAATAGGGGAAGGGAGCATCGAGGTGAAGGCCCGGGAAGGAGTAACTGAGATGACGTGTCAGCTGGATTGGTCTCAGCCATTAGTCTGACCTGTCGACGCGTGATTGGTCGCGGCGAGCAGCCCAGTGCACGAGCAGCAGCGCCCTCCGCCAGCTGCCTTTGCTGGCGAGCAGCCGCGCTGCCAGCGCCACACGGCGGGGGGAGAGACGCACCCCTGCGCTGCGCACTGCCCTGGACACGTGGCGCGGGGAGGCGGACAGGGGAGTGCCCTCCAGCCTGGCAAAGGGGGGGCCGGGTGGGGGGGGAGGGGGGGGAAAGGAAGGGTGAATTGGCAATTTGGTCCATCCTCACACACACACAGCAGCACCATCATCACTCCACCAGTTGCTGCAGCAGTCGCTCCTTCTCCAGCCCTGGGCCCACGTCACGGGTGACTCATGACTCAGGGGTGACTTGAGAGCCGACTCCAAAGCCAGAGCTCACCTCTAAACCAGCCGCTGCAGCAGTCGCTGCTCCTCGTCCGCCCCCAGGTGCTCGTCTGAAGCGCTTTTCGCGGCTCCCTAAAGCTCACCTCTCCACCAGTCGCTGGAGCAGTCGCTCCTCCTCCAACCCCCAGCCCTCCCTCGCCTCCACGTCGATCGCCTCTGTGTCATATGCATCGTCAGCATTCCATTCGTTAAAGTCATCCTCGCGACGGTTCGTCCGACCGAATTGCCTGGAAGCCTGATGTGCGATTGCAAGTTAGCACGGGTAGACACGAATCAGGACACCCACAGCAAAAACTGAGTCGCGAGCTTCACAGGATGCGAGGGTTACTGATTCCTGTCAAAACCCACGCCAAGAACTGAGACGCGAGCTACGTAGTCGAATTTGATCACAGGAAAGTTCCTGGCATGCGAGGGTTTCTAACGAATTCAGGGTTTGCGCGCACGCAGACGAGGAAGGAAGGAAAACGATTTCCCGAGGCTACATGCGGCTTCGACCGATAGTTACTTCGACCGGCTATGGTGAAACTCACCCCCTTGGCAGGTAAAGCGCGACCAACTCCTTGGAATCTGTTTATCTGGCTCCTCTGGAACCCGATCCGATTTCTTCTGGTCGCGACGACTGATCCCCTCCAACTGACACCGCTATTGTCTTTCCCCCATGGACCGGACGGAGTAATGGTGTCCAAGCAACCGAGACGCACTCGACTTCTCGCGTTCGAATTCTTGTGGAAATTTGTGGGGTTTTTGCTGCTACAACCTGCTGCTTTAGGGAAATGAGGGAATATATGCAGTGCACTGCAGGCACTCGGTTTCTGTGCAACACTAGGCAGAGGAGCCATGGCGAGGCGCGCAGGGGGATGGGATGAAGTGAAACCGCTCGGCAAGGGTGCACAACAATGGGCAGTCACGCGAACCGGCTCTTCTGGCTAGTCTCATATGTTAAACTAATATGATGAGCTTTCTCAGAGCTGCATAAAATTGGGAGCCGTAACCAAACCGGAAACTGGGATGGAAATTTCCCAACCTTCCAGGTGTGGGCTTGTAACGAAACGGAATTCAGACGTGGTTGTGGCCTGAAAGGTCCTGCGGCAGCGCAGCGCTGTAGGGGACCACAACATTATCAAATTCTCGTTCATTCCGAACAGGGTGCTACCTGGTTTGGCATGTTAACGCGCGGTGCTGTGCGCTAACCTCTGGTAAGTTCTGTGTTTTTATTGGACGACAAGCGTCATTACAAGCGGTTAGGCTTCCACTGTACCTCGAAAACACCATTTTCCCAGCCTACCCTTTCGGTCCGGGAATACCCTGCGGAGATTTTTGGTCTGGTTTAGCACGCCCTTTCGACGCTAGTGGACCTGCTGACCTGTCGTCGGCTGGACTTTCTCCACGTGAGGTTGAGACTTTCGGGCATGTGGGTGACGGAGCGACACGCAGGTCTGCCACTTTTCAAGGACATTTCCACGGCGAATAGACCTCCGCCAATACGCGCCGCGAGTCCCATCCCACAGATTGGCGGCGACCAGATTTCAGCGCTGATGCGCTGGCATTTCAGGCCAGGTGGCACCTAGAGAACCGGGTAACCTACTAAAGCAGGAGATATCGAGGGCGCCGAAACACTTTCCCAAGCCAGTGATGGTTCGGGTGAGGCAACGAACCTTGTCCCGCTTGTGATGCGCTTCGCGTCATTCCCAAGGGGTGTCCCCTCCGCTGGTTGAAAAGCCCTGCTCGAGCCAGCTTGCAGTTTCATTTTCTCTTCATTTCCCTCCGACCAAATTCCTTCTCCAGCAGTTGTTGCAGCCTTGTCCTAGAGTTTGTCTCCAGATTTTTCCTAGGCTTGGTGAATTCTTGGCACTCCCCAAGCCAGGCTAACCAGCCAGCCTTCCCTGCATCTCATTCTCACATTCTGCATCTGGCTTTTGCCGCCAGAAACCAAGCCAGCCGCCACCCACCAACCTCGAGTTTCACAACGAAGAAACTTGTTCCAGTTTAGCACGCAAGCACAAACCTGGACTCGCTGCTCCGTGCTCCCTTCAACCTCCACTCTGCTTCTACTCTAAATCGTCTACAATCTGAAAGCGTTCTGCGTTGTCAGCTTTTCGCTGCCTCGCCAAGCAAGTGACGTAGATCTGCTTTTTTGTTCCCCTTGGCATGGAGGCTCTTCACTCCTGTCCTACGGCTTCAGGCGCCTCGTCGCTAAGCCTGACGCAATCATGCGGCACGGCCAGACTATTTTCCTCCCCAAACTCGATGCAGCCTCTCCGGCTCACGCCGAAAGTTCCCGTCATTGTTTCCTCGTCTGCTTTCACGACCCGGTATTCCGGAGCCTCAGATCCGTCGCACCGCAGCCGTGCACAGGCCGTTCGTGCGAATGGCATCGGTCCCAACAGCTCGCAGACACCGGCGTGCGAATTCGGCCCGTGGAATCCGCAAATCGGCTCGCAAGTCGCTTCTGACCCGTCCGCCGCTTACGTCGACGAATCCTTTGAAATCGACCTGGCGGAATCGTCGGATTCAGATAACGTCCCGGCTGACGATGTCGGTAACGGAGCTCCGTCAGCGTCAGTAAAGACCCGGAGCCCTGCTGACGAGTACATGTCGGATGTGGAGGAAGTGGACGACGGAAGCGTGACGGCGTCGGGGTTTTCGGAGATGGAGGAGGCTGGCGTGGGGAGCTGGGAGCACAGAATGAAAGCCCTGGAGAGCTTGGCGGAGGGGCTCATGCCGCCGTGGGAGCAGGAGGGTCTGATGAAGGACGTGTCGGGGCTGAGCGTTGACGCGCTGGTGTCTGCCGATGCCGTGTACAACAAAGAGCTGAGGTGCGGTTGCGCGGCCGGTAGGCTTCGTTGAGTGGTGCATTTATGTCCTCTTATGTTCGGAGCTTCCTTTCAGCCGGTTCTCTGCCCTTTTTTGTCCCCATTTTAAGATTGTGCTTTACCTAGATTCGGTCCTGGACATGTGTATGGCTGTGTGTACCTTGTGTCTCAGTGGGTGTGTCCCTTCGGTCCCTCTGTCCCTACTCCCTGCGTCCTTATCGATGGTTTCGCAGCTGGTTGGCGTTCAACTGGCGCGTGCTCTACCAGGCGCTCGACAAGCGCACGCCGCTCATGGAGGTAAGTCGCCGCTCTTTTCGCCGCCGCACCAGCTAGGCTAGGTCAGCGGTGTCCTCTTTAAGATCTAGGTTTTGTAGGCTATATCTGACGATGCGTCTGCTTACCCATTCCTACCTGGTCTTCACTTGCTGCGGAGCTTTTGGTTTCTGGCCAACACGGCGCACAACCTGGACGAGGTTAACCACCGAGTCTTCCCCATCTCGGCTATCCCCATCTCATCGCAATCTCCCCCTCCCCCTGGGCCTTCGGTTCCTGGCGATCACGGCGCGCAACCTGGACGAATTCTAGCCGCTTACCCGCGTTCCCACCGCTTGCTTTTCCCCATCCCACCGCAATTTCCTCCTCCGCCAGCGCCTTCGCTCCCTGGCCATCGCGGTGCCCAATCTGGAAGAGTTCGAGCTGCCGTTTACCCCATCCCCTCTGTTTTTCCCCATCCCTTCCCCGCGCCCCCCCTCACCCAGCGCCTGCGCTTCCTGGCCATCACGGCGCGCAACCTGGACGAGTTTTTCTGCAAGCGCGTGGGCGCGCTGAAGCGGCAGCAGGCGGCGGGCATGGCGAACCTCATCGGCCACCGCAGCAGCTGGCTCTGGACGCCCAGCCAGTCGCTCAAGATCGTCGCCAGGTGAGAAAACCTGGAGCTACTGCAGCTTCGTCGCCTCGAAGCAGTTGGTTTGGGCTTTGGATCTGCGTCGCCAGGTGATAAGCGTGCCAAGCACTCGGGATTGTCGCGTTGTTTCTCTTCTGGGCTTGTGCGTGGCGGAAGAGTCAGACAATAGCTGGGACTGGGTACGCAGCCCAGTGTTAACATTCGTGCATCAAATGTGAAACACTCGAAAACGGGTTGCGCGAATTGTCCGGAAAACGGATCCCAGCATTCAGAAATTTCCCCAAATTCGCCAACTTAATCACTTTGAAAACTTTGACAAGTAGAGTCCGCCTGTTTTTAGTGCAGCTAGCGCTGGGCGTCCAGCAAGTGACATTGACGCTGGCATTGACGCCGAATAAGAAGCGAAGCTGCATCTCTGATGCTCGTTAAAACCCGCGGCTCCTTGATCCAGCTTCCGCGCGCAGTTTATCACACTTTCAGCCAAAGCTTGGCGGTTTCTGATTTGTCGACTTGTTTGCCTGTGCTTGTTGTGCGCTGGCGTTGTGTTGTTTTGTGTTGGTTGGTGTGTGCGCGTGATGGCTTGCTTGGTGTGTTGCGCGTGATGGCCTTCTTGCTTGCGTGCTTGGTGCGCTGCAGGGAGGTGGAGCAGCTGGTGCAGATGCAGCTGCAGTGCCTGCAGCAGGACCTGCTGCCATCACTGCGCAAGCACGGCATCAGCCTCGTGCACTGGGACGAGCTCGACACGCCCGCCAAGGACAAGGTGGGGTTCTCAGGAAGAGCAGGATGGCGGCGGGGGGATGAGGGTCGCTGGTTGGGCACGGGGAAGGATGGGGTTTAGTCAACGGCGGAACGTGACGCGTGTTGGAGCGGGGAAGGTAGGGCTTAGCAGGGGGGAAACTTGCGGTCTAAGAGGGGTAAGATTAGGGTCAGGGGATCACTTGCCAACCCTACCCTCCCTTCCACTCTCTCCCGCTTTTCTTCTCTACGTTATCCACCACAAGCTGTGCATGTGCTTGACATCATGACTGAAACCCATCAACTCCCGGCCACCGCCCTCCCCCTGCGCCCTCTTCCCTCCCCCCCCCCCACACCCCTGCCGCGTCCTGTTCCCTCCCCCCTCCCTCCCCGTTCCGCTCCCCCTTCTCCCCCTCGCTAACGCGGTCATCAGCTGCGCGCGTACTACAGGGCGTGGCTGGAGCCCATCATCACGCCTCTGGCGGTGGATCCCGGCCATCCCTTCCCCTTCATCGGCAACATGTCCCTCGGCATCGCTGTGGTACGCACCTCTTTCCCTTCGCCTCCTTTTGAGTCGACTAAAAAAAGTCACGTTATCGGCAACATGTCCCTCGGCATCGCTGTCGTACGCACCTCTTTCCCTTCGCCTCCTTTTGAGTCGACTACAAAAAGTCACCTTATCGGCAACATGTCCCTCGGCATCGCTGTGGTACGCACCTCTTTCCCTTCGCCTCCTTTTGAGTCGACTAAAAAAAGTCACCTAATCGGCAACATGTCCCTCGGCATCGCTAAGGTCCGCACCTCTTTCCCTTCGCCTCCTCCTTCCAGCGACTTGTTCCCGCTTGCCTCGCATTCTTCTCCCCCTTCGCCCTCCCCGCCCCCAGTGGACGACGACCATGAAATTGCTGACCCAAGCATTGCCCCTTGCACCTCCAAAACCCCCATTCCCCTCCTCCCCGGCCTTCCCCCTCGCGTTACCACGTGTTGCATCGCCTGTTTGCCATCCAAGCCCTCTCCCTTGCCCCTGCATATTCGCCGTCTCATGCCCGAGCTCTTGTTCCCTCGTCTAATCATCTCTTGCAGGCGCTGAGGGACCCAGTGGACGACGACCATGAGTTTGCCATTGTCTCTGTGCCAAACACCTGCAACCGCTGGCATCCCCTCGTGCGCCCCAATGAAGAGTGAGTAGGCTCCCATCGAATTCCGTCCCCCCTCTCTCCCCACCGCCAACCTCCGCCCCCTCCCTTTTTCAAGAGCCGTCTGTTCTTCTCCTTCGTCACGCCAACCGCTCTATCGCGTTCGTTCACATCAGTTGAGGAGATTATGGACGCTCTCCGCCTGTTCTTCAAGGCAAATTCCCGGCAATCCGTCATCGTAGCCATCTCCCCCCTCGCTCTCACGTTGCTCCTGCATTGCATTCGTGACCACTCAGGGGCAGCAACGAGGAGCGCAACGCGTTGATCTCAGTGGAGGAGATCATCAAGGCCAACCCTCTGCGTGCTATCTTGTCATCCTAGCCTCCTCTTCTCCCACTTCCGCCTCTCACTCGTCTCTTGCACTGCATCCGTGCCTGGCAGGGGCAGCAACGAGGAGCGCAACGCGTTCATCTCAGTGGAGGAGATCATCAAGGCCAACCTGGCGTCGCTGTTCGGTGGCATGGAGGTGAGTCGCTGGGCAGAGCAAACGTGTAGGAGTCTGCACGGATTGAAGCAAATTAGGATCATCATAGTCTGGTGGCATGGTCTTGAGGCGCTGCTTGTCCCCCTATCCTCCCCTACTCCAGATCACTTCGGCACACTTCTTCCGTGTGACGCGCAACGCGGACGTGGAGCGCAACGAGGACGAGGCGGAGGATCTGCTGGAGATGATCACGGACGAGATGCGGGAGAGGAAGTTTGCGCCCTTCGTCCGCCTTGAGGTGGACTGCGAGATGCCCGAGGAGGTGCTGCTCAAGCTGTCTCAAGAGCTGGGGCTGGATTCCCGTGATGACGTCTACCGCATCTGCGGACCCCTGGGCTTGGGAGGTGCGTGTTGAAATCTGACATGTTCCCCTGGGGGGGCATAAGGGGCCCTGGAAAGTTTGCGCCTTTCGTGCGCCTCGAGGTGGACTGCGAGATGCCTGAGGAGGTGCTGCTCAAGCTGTCTCAAGAGCTGGGGCTCGACTCTCGTGACAACGTGTACCGCATCTGCGGACCCCTGGGGCTCGGAGGTGGGTGTCGCGATCTGTGGTGTTTTTCCCTCGGGGGCCGCAGCGGGGCCTTGGGAAGTTTGCGCCCTTTGTGCGCCTGGAGGTGGACTGCGAGATGCCTGAGGAGGGGCTGCTCAAGCTGTGCCCCTGTGCTTGGCGCGAGCTTCCCCGTGCTACTCTCCCTTTCGGAGATCGACTCCATCCCTGTGAACCGTGGCGAGAACGCCTAGAGGGCGCTCGCCTTCCGCTCCTGGTTGTATATGCGTACAGAACCCACACACGTTAGGAGTCTAGTTTTGAGGCGCCTCAAATATCGCTTTCCTCTCCTGGTTGTATATTAATGCAGAGCCCAGCCCACCTCACATACGTTCCCCTCAACGTGTTGCCCCCTCTCCCCTGCCCCAGAGATCGACTCCATCCCACTGAACCTGGATCGACTCCATCCCAGAGGGCGCTCGTCTTTCCCTCCTGGCTCTATCATTACAGTACCCACATACGTTCCCTCAACGTGTTGCCCCCTCTCCCCTGCCCCAGAGATCGACTCCATTCCATTGAACCTGGATGAAAATGTCAAGGGGGCACTTGTCTTTCCCTCCTGGCTCTATCATTACAGTACCCACGTACGTTCCCCTCAACTTGTTGCCCCCTCTTCCCCGTGCTACTCTCCCTTCCAGAGATCGACTCCATCCCAGTGAACCTGGACGAGAACGCCAAGAGGGCGATCGTCTTCACCTCCTGGGCGCCGCAGACCCACCCGCGACTCAAAGGGGTCAGTTCCTTTTCCGCCCTCCTTCCCCTCGTTTGCCTTGTATCCCATCCGCTTCCTTTACTCTTGGTAACGGGCTCTCTTCTCGGAGTACTCAACATCTTGTTCCCATGGTTCCACTCCCCCCCCCTCTCCTCCTACAGGCGGACATCTTCGACACCATCAGGCACGGGGACGTGCTGGTGCATCACCCCTACCACAGCTTCGGCACCTCCACGCAGCACTTTGTCGAGGCTGCAGCACGCGACCCCAAGGTAGGCAGCCTGCAAAACTCAGTGCCAAGGCAACCCCAACCCCAAGGTACCCGAAGCCATAGGGCGTGCTGCCCCTTCACAGCTTCGGCACCTCCACGCAGCACTCTGTGGAGACTGCTGCTCGCGATCCCAAGGTAGGCAGCCATTGAGAGAGTCATCTCATCCCAAGGAAAGAAGCCTGTATGATGTGTATCGGGGGTTGGTTGGGGCCCGAGGTTCAAGGTGATGCACTCTACGGCACAACCAGCGGACACGCTGAGGTCTGTCATCCCAACTCACCAATGCCCCTCGCCTGCCCCATCCCTTGAATAGTTTTTGTAGAATTATCAAAAACCAAGGCCTGTCATCCAAACTCACCAAGACCCATTCCCTGCCTCTTGCGCTACATGCTTCTCCCCTTGTGGAGGTGCAAGCCATCAAGCCCCCCTTCTCCAGCTCGTCAGCGGGCAGCCGGTCATCTCAGCACTCATCAAGGCCCCTCGCCCCAACGAATCCCTGTTCCCCTTGTGCCTTTCATTCCCCTTGGTGCAGGTGCAAGCCATCAAGGCCACCCTGTACCGCACGTCAGCGGACAGCCCGGTCATCTCGGCGCTCATCAAGGCAGCAGAGTACGGCAAGCAGGTGGCGGTGCTGGTGGAGCTCAAGGCTCGGTTTGATGAGGCCAGGAACGTGGGCTTTGCGCAAAAACTGGAGGTGAGAACCGTGTATTTTTGCTGGAGGAAGTAGAGGTTGGTCTCGTACGGTTCGCCCAGTCCAAGCCACCAAGGCAGCGGCGTATGGCAAGCAGGTGACCGTGCTGGTGGAGCTCATGGCGAGATTCCACGAGACCAGGAACGTCGGATTCGCGTAAAAGCTAGAGGTAGGCAACAGCGCCCTGAAACTCAGAGGTGTGTACTATGGGGATCACACAAGCCATCAAGGCAGCGGAGTATGGCAAGCAGGTATTTTTGAGCAGGTGGAGCTCATACGCGGTTTGATGAGCCCAGGAATGTGGGCTTCACGCGAAGACTGATGTGGTAGGTTGCATGAGGCATGCACAGAAAGTAGACGCATGGAGCGCTCGTTTCACACAAATGGTCAAGCAGGGGATAGTTCGTATTCATGGGCTATTCATTGGTTTCATAAGTAACCACCCGCTGCCCTGCTGCCCCTTCTGCCCGCCTCCACACTCCCGTTTGCCTTCCCTCGTGCAGAATGCTGGGTGCCATGTGGCGTATGGACTGGTGGGGCTGAAGACGCACTGCAAGTGCATCATGGTGGTGCGGGAGGAGGAGGAGGGCTTTCGGACATACGTGCACATCGGCACCGGCAATTACAACCCGCGCACCGCCTCTGTCTACACCGACTTCGGTCTCTTCAGGTCAGCATTCCTTGCATGCATTGCCTAGTATCCACTTCATTCGTAAGCGCACATTGGCAGCCGAAATTACAACCCGCGCACCGCATCTGTGTACACGATTATTGGCCTCATCAGGCCAGTACTTCCTCGAACATAGCCGTCGATTTATCAATTATTATCTTTATTCGTGCGTGTGTAGAGCCACAGTCAACCAGAACCTCGCCCGGCGCCATGCGCGGCGAGGTCCTTTCCTGCGCTGCGCCTCAACACATCTCGTCTTCCCCCGTCTCTCCCAAACTCTCCCCCCATTCTCTCCCCCCATTCTCTCCCCCCATTCTCTCCCCCCATTCTCTCCCCCCATTCTCTCCCCCCATTCTCTCCTCCCTCCCTGAGCGTAGTTGCCGCCCAGAACTCGGTGAAGACGTGCGAGATCTCTTCAAGTACCTAACCGGCTACCACCGGCAGAACAAGTACAACAAGCTGCTGATCGCCCCGGGCACCATGCGCCGCGAGTTCCTGCGCCTCATCGACCGCGAGATCGCCAACGCGGCGGCAGGCCTGCCCGCGCACGTGGTGATCAAGTGCAACGGGCTGGACGACGAGGTCATGGTGGCCAAGATATATGAAGCAGTGGGGAGTGGTGTGAAGGTGGACTGCATCGTGCGCGGCATGTGCAGACTGAGGCCGGGGGTCCCGGGGGTGAGCGAGAACCTGCGCGTGGTCAGCATCATCGGACGGTTCCTGGAGCACCACCGCATCTTCAAGTTTGAAAACGGTAAGCAGCAGGGGTAGGGGTGGCTTGTTGTGGGGGAGGGAGTTCAGCATAGGGGTGAAGGGCTCCGTCATTGGGATGGGGGGGTGGAAGGGGAGGTGAGGAATGATTATGAGGGTGGTGAGCATCCCCGCAGCTTCAAGTTTGAAAATGGTGAGCAGCAGGGGTAGGGGTGGCTTGTCTCTGAGTAAAAGGGGTGTGTGGTAGGGATGGGACCATGCAATCAAATCCACAACCCCCACCCGTCCACGTCCTTACCCTCAAACTCCTGCAACTGCAATTCACTTCCCTCCGTCCTCTCCCTTCCCCCTTCCCCAATCTCAGCCGGAGACCCCCAGTTCTACATTGGCTCGGCGGACTGGATGAGTCGTAACCTAACCCGGCGAGTGGAGGTGGTGACCCCCGTGGAGGACCGCGCGATCAAGGGCGAGCTGCAGTCCATCCTGGACGCGTGCCTCTTTGACAAGCGCCAGGCGTGGCAGCTACAGCCGGACGGGCGCTACAGGCTGCTGGGCGTGTCACCGCAGTGGCTGACTGAGCTGGGAGGGGAGCTGCCGAAGCCCAGCAAGGAGAACAAGCTGTACCGGGCGGAGCATTTGGGATTGCACCAAGCCATCATGGACCTTACTCTGCGACGGGTATGTTCCATGGGGCAGGGGGCATGTGATGCTTGGGATGTTGGCGAAAGGGGTGCTGGCCATATGAGAAGGTTCAAATGGTACCCATTTCCCTGCTGGCAGTTGCTCTTCCTCGTAAACACGCATATCATGTCCATCCATGTCCTCATGGTTCCTTCTCTCTGCTTCCGTGGATGCCTGTTGCCCTCCCCCCTCCCCCCCACCCACCCGACCCCTTTGCTGTGCAGACGAAGACAGCACGCAAGGTGAGCCTGAAGAAGAAGGATGGAAGCCCACCCAAGGCAAGACGGTTCTTGGAGTCGCTCTATGACAGCAGCACACCATGACGAAATGCACCGTGACGATGACTACAGTGTAAATGCAGCAAGCTTACTTTGCTAACGATAGGAAGAGAGCGTCCCAAGGAGTTATGAAGAGCAACCACATCGATGTTGATTACGCCTTGTTGGTTGGAGTTGATGTGGTGGTGCTAAACGCTCTAGCACTATCACAAAGATCAATTGCAATTCTTTTATGTTCAGCAATGCTGCTCGAAACCTGCTCCGTTCCCTGCCTGTCTGTTGACTTATTGAGATGTACACATGCATGAACCGTCGTTAACTAGTGTTGATGAGGAGATAGACAAAGTGGGGATGGTAAATTGTAATACGTTATATATGCTGGAATTGTACTATGAAAGTACACTTAGATGGCTACTTTGGCACGTCGTCACCCTATGAGTGGACAAGCCACGTCAAGTTTCGAATGGTTCGAAAACTCCCAGTGGAACTTTCGGCCAGCAAGACTCTAGTCTTGCTTTTGATTGGGCTATTTTTTCAGACGAATCAGCGTTGCTAACGGCACGAGGTCCAGATTGGCACTCAGAGGAGCTGACTAGCGGGGGTGCCATGGAGGTTCCGCTCACCACCAATGACAGACCACCTTAATTTTGGCTGGCAGTAGCCAGCCATCCACTACGAGCCACGTCACTGAACATGACTCAACTCAACCACGCACACCCTGCATTTCCGCCTGGCTTCTGCACCCTTTCGCTGACGTCACAGCCCTCACTGCCTCGCTGCTTTGTGGGCCAGAGTTATGCACTGCACATTTGAACTCCAGCCCAGACCAACCCAGCTCAGAAACTCGATCGACTAGGCCCTGATCGGTTGGCCGGATTCTGGAATGAGGATGGTGTCGAGCAATTTCTCAGGGCTGGCTTGGAATAGGCTTGAAGCCAACCAATATTTTTAATCACACCAAACCTCCTGGAATAGAGGTGTGTACCGATCACCAGAATGAGGAAGACTGGAATCCAGAATGAGGTAAGGGCACGTAGCTGCTGACTCGGGCGAAATCGTGCCAACTGCCGGTCAATGTGAATTCCAGCTTTTTTGCAGGAATAGCTGGGAATAGTGAAGAGTGGGGCAATCCAGACGCAATAACTAATGCCCTTATTTCGGAAACGGGAAACGTCGAATACCCAATACCAGCCTGTTTCTGACCGGCAAGAAAAGAAATTCAGGGTCGCATTTCGATATCGAGCCAGATGCAGGGCCCCAGATGCACAATTTGAAGCCCTGTTTCCCCCCTCCCTTTTGTTTTTCGTGACCCAGATCGTGGCGGGCAAGTTTGGAGATTTTCCAGCTCAGACGCCTCAGTTACATCACGCAATTTCGCACATAAACCAGCCCAACTTCTCGCACTACCTAACCTGGCGAGTCAACGCACAGAATACGGAAAGCTCGCAGCGGATTCCGCATTCCGGATTCCGTACATTCCGGAATAACGGCCTACCGATCACGGCCCTAGGTTTCAAGTTTGGTTTCTCCGAGAGTGTTCTTTCTCAGGGGTAGGTTTCGCCTTGGTAGTTCACTGCCACATACTTAGGCTTCGCGTTGCAATTAGTCTACGCGCTAGAATAGGTTTCGCATAGCGATTCGTCATCAGCTTATTATCACAGATAGGTTTCGCCCTCGAAGTATCTAGGTTGCGACATTCAGGCGAGGCTGGTAGGAAGCTGGTGTTTCCTCGCAACCGACATCGAGGTCCATGGCTCCGCTTAGCGCTGAAATTCGCAGAGCTCTTCACGGCTCGCGCCTGCCAGCACTGCATATCGAGCCTCGCAGAATCGTCGCTAATGGCGCTACTAGGTCCGTAACTTCCTCTTCGGTGACGACAAGGGCTGAAGCCGAAGCATCAGGAGGGTTATCTTTCCAAAGACGACTAAGAGACATAACCCGTGATGTGCCAGGAAATTCTTTGTCAAGTCATGAGTCCGCGTCGGAACATTCGCAGGGGTTCAATGAGTCACGAAGTCGCAATGTAGTTGACGAATTGACGAGTCCGGCTGCTGAGACAGCAGCAGTCGCAGCCGCGGAAGCTGCGGAATTCTACCGGCAAATGGCCGCAGACAACAACTGGCGACGATTAGAGACCCTCTTAATCCTTCTAGTGGCCTTATCGTCTCTTTATTTCAGCCGAACCGCTGCTATTCTGGCCACGTCAGCAGCTGTTGTCGCCTCCCTGATAATCCAGCATCGCACGTCGATCCGTCGGCGAACGCAGTTGCACACCCGTCACTCGTACGCGAAGACAGCCAGGGTTACCAGCTTCGCTTGTGTTCGCGAGCCGCTGGCGAAATTTCCTGAATCGCTTGAGTTAGCTGCCGCTGAACCGACTGATTGGTCCGGACAGATTCGGAGGGTGTTTTCATCCCCGTTATTGGCCTCGAGTCAGATGGGACACGGATCTCCATTCGATTCGGAGGTTGGTGAATCAAACCGAACCGGAACTGCCAGTCTGCCACATGGCCCTGCGGAAAACGCGGCGGGTAGTGTGGCGGATAACGCTGCGGGTACAAGTCGTGCGGGGGGACGTGCGGGCGGTACTAGTAGCGTTCCTTTTGCTGCAGAGTCGAATCGCAGCCGCGCGATCCTCCGCACGGCGTCGCATCCGTGTCTCGCCATGGCGTCGTCCCTCTCCCCTCTTCCGTCCCTTTCCCGTCCTCCATCTCTCTCCCCTCGGCCGCCTCTCTTCCCCGAACCATCCGTCGCCGGTTTTATCGATCCCAGGAGGCGTGACAACAGCAGCTGTAGCCCTGTCACTGACTGGGGGGCACCAGCGGCGCCCGCAGAGAGACATGTCGGATTTACCTCGTTAGAAAGAACAGCGGAAAAAGCATATGACTCATTGGAGAGAAGCAGGTTCGTCAGTTGTAGGGTTACCACCTCCCCTTTGCCCATGCCTGAAGACTCTCACACCACGTGTAATGCTGACGCAGCGACGGCAGCAGGGTCCAGCTCGACAGGCGCTGCAGCAACCGACGACGACGATTACGCATGCGTAAGCCCATTCTTCTCCAGCCCTTTCCCGCTCGTCGGATCGCAGCAGCAGCAGCATGAGCAGCAGCAGCAGCAGCAGCATGAGGAGCAACGCGGAGAGAGCACTGGCGCGGGAACTAGCCTCCACTCCCTCCCACGCTGTCGATCCGAGGAGTCCGCCGCTCCCTCTGCGACCTTCCGTTCCGCCGCGGGACGCGGAGGAAGTTATGGGCTGTGCAGGGACGAGGCGAATGAGTTTCCCAACGGCTCGTTCACGGGGCTTTCTGACGGAGGGAGCGGAGCAACTAGTCAGCGCTCGGAGGGGGAGGGTTATATGAGGGAGGGCGTATTTGAGGGTAGCAGGCGAGAGGACGGTGGTGGAATTGAGCTTGTTCGGGCTGCGACTGACGGGGTAATGGAGGCGAGGAGAGCGAGAAAATTTACCATGGCTTTTATGGGTGCTGGGATGTTCCATGGCCGAGGGAAGGAGAGGAGAGCGGGCAGGATTGAAAAGAAGGGATCGGCCAGGGAGAAGAATTTTGAACAGGGTGGAAGTGGTGGAGGAAGAGGAGGAGAGGAGGGGGTAGGGAATGAGGGGGAGAGAGTGGACAAGGGAGGAGGAAGTGTGGTGAATCCGGCAAGAGGGAAGGGAGGACGAGGCATTGGGAGCTTGTTTATCAGCAGCAAGAGATCACGGGCGGTAGGAGCGGCAGCAGCGGCAGCAGCAGCAGCAGTGGCGCCAGCAGAAGAAGCTCATACAGGAGAAGCAGAGGCACGAGGAGAAGCAGCAGCAGCAGCAGCTGCGGCACGGGCCAGGAGCAGAAGGAGGTGGTCTGATGGCGTCAGAGGCTGCAATCTCGCTGCCTCTGCTGATGCTTCCGCTGATGCTGCCACTTCTGCGTCTGTCATTTCCGCCGCCGCCACCGCTGCTGGTGCTGTGGCTGCGGCTGCTGCTGCTGCTGCTGGGGGCTCGAGTGGCGCTGAGGATGTGGAGTCTGAGGGCCCAAAGCGATCAGGAGCAGGCCGATCTATCTCGCTGCATGCCACACCTGTCTCCAGTCCCGCAAGCCTTACCACAGGGGAGGTGGCAGGCGGAAAGAAGGGGAAGAGATGGGGCAGGAGGGAGGAGAGGGATGGGAGGGAGGCAGGGAGGAGAGAGGAGGCGGAAGGCAAGGAGGCTGGGAGGAGAGAGCAGCGAAGCAATTGGGCCAGCGACTCTCTTTTTACACACCTGGCTTCAGTTGGCGAGGTTGAGCGAGGGAGTAGCGTGGAGGAGGAGGAAGATCCACGTGAGGTGGTGGCAACCTTCTCACCCGGCTCGTGGGAGCAGAGGCACATCCCGGGCGGACCAGAAGCAGCAGCAGCAGCATATGAGGATGGGACACTGGCACCGATATTTTCAGGGGAAGTTTTGGATTTAGCACCAGCAGCCACCGCAGCAGCAGCCCCAGTCAGATCAACGGGTGGAATCGCCTGGTCTGGTGAGCTGGGGCAAACCGCAGCCCAAGCAAGGCGCTTGAACACAGTCAGGAGTCTGCCCCTCCATCAGCCCCTCACACCTCCACCCTCCACGTTTCCTGGGTTTGGACAGCAGGCAGGCCCGGCCAATAAGCGACTGACAGGTGTACCATCCCCTGGGCGGCATGTGTACAATCCAGAGCAGCTGGACGGAACAGGAGGAGGTAGAAGTATAAAGAGGCAGACGGCCCCATCTCCACCGGTTACTCTCCTCCCCCCAGGCTCCTCCTGGCCTCCCGTTTCCGCCGCCTCAGCGTCTTCCGCCTCTCGTTCTCCGAACCAGACGCCATCGGGTGCTGCTGCACCTGCCTCCGCTGCCTCCGGGCCGTCTGGAGGCGCTGGGGGCGCTGCTCTCCTGCTGCTGCTTCTGCTGACGCTGTCGTTTCTGCTGCTGGGGAGGGTGGCTGCTGTGGTAGGGGTGTCTTGTGTGCTGCTGCTGGTGGCGCGGATTGGACAGGTAGGGGGAGGGTGGGGCGGAGAGATTGGCAGAGGAGGGATTGGGGAGGTAGGGGGAGGGGAGCGAGGAGGAACTAATGGAGTGGGGTTGAAAGGAGGGGTGGGGGAGGGGGGAGGAGAGAGCAGGGAGGCGAAGGAGGAGAGGGCGAGGGCGGAGGAGAGGAGGAGGAGGCAGGAGAGGGCGAGGGACGAGGCGAGACAGAGGAGAGTGGCTGAGATTCTGCAGCACAGCCGGTGTTCCGACCCACGAACCCTTTCGGTGATGGAAGGGTTTCTGTCTCGATCCACAACTGCAACCGATAGAAGGAGATGAGGGGGGAGAGAGCGAGGCAAGGAGGGATGCAGGGATCTGCAGCACGCCAAGGTCTCAAACTAGAATTTTTAATAATGATAGAGTTAGAGAGTACA